AAGATACTGTTTGTAACAGTTTCCTTGTACGCTGAGGAAACCAGCTGTGGACCGAGTGTAGGAACAGCCACGCTTAGCCAGAGTTGTTGGTTCCCGGTGGCTCACAGCACAACAGCAGGTGTAGGCTTGAGTAGCCCCAGTGTGTGGTCTGGCCCTGCTAAGTGCAGACATGAGGTTGGGCCAGCCTGTGGGGAGGGACTTGCCACCGGCACCGAGTCATCTCTCTCATGTAGGGGACAAGTCTGGTGGAGCAAGGGGCTTCCTGGCAGGCCCATTTGGCCACACCCTTGGTCAGGGTCACCTCTGTGGTAGCCCCCAGTGGGCGAAGTCACCTGTCGTTGGGATTTGTTGTAAAAGCCAAATGCAGGGAGAGCCCTGGAGCTCGGAGTGGAGACCTTAGGCTCCTTCTGGCAGTGCCCCTGTGGCCCTAGGTGGCCCTGGGTTTGAGAGTGGCAAGGAGGGCTGAGGTCCTGAGGACAGCCCTGCTGTGCCCTAGGAGGCCAGGTGGATGATACCCTGGCCCTTCTCAGGGGGCCCTGGGTGGAGCCACGTGGAGCCTGGGATGATGTCTGCCTGTCCTGTGTCAAGCAGCTGCCAACGTGCTACTCTCGGAGCAGGGGGATGTGAAGCTGGCGGACTTTGGGGTAGCAGGGCAGCTCACAGACACACAGATTAAGAGGAACACGTTCGTGGGCACCCCCTTCTGGATGGCGCCTGAAGTCATCAAGCAGTCGGCCTATGACTTCAAGGTGGGTGCAGTGGGTGGGTGGGCGGGCGGGTGCGGGCACCACGCCTGACTGGGGTGCTCAGGGCAGCGACAGTCCTTGTGTTCTGTCCAGGCCGACATCTGGTCCCTGGGGATCACAGCCATCGAGCTGGCCAAGGGGGAGCCTCCAAACTCTGACCTCCACCCCATGCGCGTCCTGTTCCTGATTCCCAAGAACAGCCCTCCCACACTGGAGGGCCAGCACAGCAAGCCCTTCAAGGAGTTCGTGGAGGCCTGCCTCAACAAGGACCCCCGATTCGTAAGGCCCGCCTCTGGCCTGGCCCCTTCTGGACGGGCATATGGAGGGAGGGCATTTGCTTGGGGGTGGGCAGCACAGCCCGGAGGCCTAGGCCCCCCAGCCTTGTAGCCGTGAGGACCCGCCCCAGTCCAGGCTGCCTCACATTTGCTTTCCTGAGGCAGAGCTTGGCTGGGCCCAGTGACCGATGTTCCCCTGACCCCGCACAGCGGCCCACAGCCAAGGAGCTCCTGAAGCACAAGTTCATCACACGCTACACCAAGAAGACCTCCTTCCTCACGGAGCTCATCGACCGCTATAAGCGCTGGAAGTCCGAGGGGCATGGCGAGGAGTCCAGCTCCGAGGACTCTGACATGTAGGGGCCTGGTTTATCCTCATGGTGACCCTAGGTGTTGTGACGTGGGTGGTCCCCACTCCAGAAGCAGGGGCGTGGGCTCTAGGGGTGAGAGTGACCAGATATAGTATTGGGCAGGGACCCCCTTAAGGCTGCAGGACAGGGCCTGCTGAGGCATCAGTTGGACTCTGTGGCCTGGCAGAGCGCCGCCCAGTACCTCGGGTTTCCCTTGGCCGTGAGGTGTGCCCTGAGGCCCTTGTGCCTCCTGGCCCTCCCCCCACTGACCCTGTCAACTCTTCATCCTCTTCAGTGATGGCGAGGCGGAGGACGGGGAGCAGGGCCCCATCTGGACGTTCCCCCCCACCATCCGGCCGAGTCCACACAGCAAGCTTCACAAGGGGACGGCCCTGCACAGCTCACAGAAGGTCTGTTCCCGGCCTGGCCTCTGCCTGCTGTGCACCCTGGGGCTGGGTGCGGGACCCAGCTTTGTCCACCCAGCGTCTGGGGCTTGGACAAGGAGCTTGGGAAAGGCAGGGGTGGTCCGAAGCCCACTGTGGCACTGGGCCTGGTGTGGAGACCCCAAGCTCCAGCATGTGCTGGGAAGATGAGGGCCTGTTAGGGGCCAAATTTGTGAGGAAAGGGTGGGTGGGAGTTGTAAGCCCTGAGTCAGGCCATCTGGGTGGCTTGATGGTTTTGGGGCCAGCCCTGGGCATGTGCCGTGACAGGCTGCTCCCAGTCTCCATCCCTTCAAGGCTAGAGCCTGAAGGGATGGGAGTGCCCTGCCTGTCGCCTGCACTGCCCTGCTCACCCTGGGCCTCCACTTCCTTTGCAGCCCGCAGAGCCTGTCAAGAGGCAGCCAAGGTCCCAGTGCCTGTCCACGCTGGTCCGGCCTGTCTTCGGAGAGGTGAGAAGGGGGCTGGGGCTGGGGCTGGGCCTGGAGTCCCGCCAGGGACAAGGCTGTGACGCTGTTCTGCGGAGATGTCCCCCTCACAGTGCTGTGGGGCAGTTTCAGCTTCTAGGTTTCCTGCAGCTGATTATGGGCTGGGTTTTCTGAGTAGAAGGAGCAGAATCTGCTGTGGTGACTCCTTTTGTACTCCCAGACCTGCCAAGGTTCTCTGGGTTCCCAGAGTGACTTTTTTTTTCTTCAAGTGCAAACACAGATGACCCTTCTATAGAGAAAGCAGAGAAGATGTAGTCGGGGTCCATCCAGGGCAGGTGCCTCCCTGGTTAGTCACATGACCTTGCATCAACGTCACCTGCTAATGGGCAGTCAGCACCATTCTCAGAGATGTGATGCAGCCAGGAGCTCTGTGCCCAGGGCGTGGCCAGTAGGCTTGGGCCCAGGTGTGCTCTCCAGGAGCCCCTCCTGGAGCCTGGGGAGGATGGAGGATGTGGGTGAGAGGTGGTGACAGGAGAGCCTGCCTGAGGATGGCAGAGGGTGGAGCAGTCGAGGGACAGTGGCCCCAGCCCATGTGGAGGCCCCAGTGAAGCAGCCACTCAGGCCCAGGTCCCGGGCAGCCTGCTGACCTAGCCACAGCCCCCGAGGGTGGGTGACGCCCGGTGACAGGAGGCTCAGAGCTGGTGTCTTGATGGAGGTCAGATCTGGGCCTGGTCGTGCTTTGGGAGTTTCTGGGCTTTGTGTTTTTGGGTCTGATCGGACCCATTCAGTGGCTTCCATGACCCTCAGCTGGGAGGAAGCCATCTGGTCCCCTCCTGAGAACTGAGGCCCGAGATTCCCTGGAGTGTAGAGGGAGAGTAGGGGCTGTGGGGAAGGACCACTAAAGTCCCCATTGGCAGGGCAGGCTTCCTTGGGCCACCTCACTTCCTGGCTTGCTGAAGGGCTCCCGGGTCCTAGACGAAGGCCTTGAAGGCCTCCAGCATGACTCTGGCCGAGCAAAGGAGCGGGCTCCCCGAGGGCCTGTCCTGGGGTCCAGGGTCAGGCGAGGTGGTCTCTCCATAGCTCAAAGAGAAGCACAAGCAGAGCGGCGGGAGCGTGGGTGCTCTGGAGGAGCTGGAGAACGCCTTCAGCCTGGCCGAGGAGTCCTGCCCCGGCATCTCAGACAAGCTGATGGTGCATCTGGTGGAGCGAGTGCAGAGGTGAGGGTGGCCGGGCCATAGGGTTGGGGAGAGCACCCCCGCCAAGCAGCAGCTGGATGTGGGGTGAGGTCCAGTGCTCACTCGTGGGTGTGGCTGCGCTTGGAACTACATGGGTTCTCTTCACTCCGGGAAGGGGCGGCATGGCATCCTCTTCCTTGTTCGGACCCAGCTCACAGGGCCATGGAGATTCTGGGGCTGGAGAGAGTGGGCAGGGCCTTTCCAGTCTAAGTGTCTGAGGAGTGTCTCAGGGTCCTGGCCTCAGTGGCCACACGGCTGTCCTCAGCTGACCTCTGCCACCTAGTGGCTCCCAGGAGCTGCTCTGACACGCTGGCGGCAAAACGTCAGAGCTGCCCCTGTGCTGACCTGAGTCCTTCTCAAAGAGGGCAGGACAGATACTGGGCCCTCCACCGTCCAGTGGATTTAGGGTCCAACCGCCATGCCGCTGGCAGATGCCCTAAGTCCTGGTCCACACCCAGGGACCCCTTCCTGGCACCCCTGGGCAGCAGCTCTGGGGGTGGGGTCTGGGCCAATCAGTGCTGCTCCTGAGACCCTGTGCACTGGGGACACTTCAGACCCACGTGGTGCGGTGGCTTGTCAGGGCTGCCACCGCAGACTGCACACCCAAGAGGCCGTCAGGAGCCTGGGCACAGAGGTGCATGCACACAGAGGTGGGCTCTTCTCTCTGCAGGTTTTCACACAACAGAAACCACCTGACATCCACCCGCTGAAACGCGCTGCTGTTCAGATAGGGGACAGAAGGTCCTTTGTTTTTGTTCTGAGCTCCATAAGAACTGTGCTGACTTGGAAGGTGCCCCGTGCTGTTTCGTGCCTGCAGGGACACGTCAGATCCTGTGGGCCTCACATGCCAGGTCACCGTCTCCTTCCACCCCTGCAGTGTGCTGTTCTGCACGTCAGGGGATGCCGTTCCACACGTCCACTGCCCTCCTTCCTCTCCTGGCCCAGCAATAGAGCTCACGGGGGCTCCAGCAGCCAGCATGGTCCTCATGAGCTATGCCTGGGTCTTCTGCAGACTCACGCAGCCCTATGGCCGCTCAGACCAAGGCGCAGAGCAACTATCAGGGCAGCTCTGCCTCCTCCTCCCATGAGATGGGGAGAGGCAACAGGACAGCCCCCAGAGGAGTGCCCTGGCCGCTGTCCTCCCAGGGCCCGTGATGGCCATAGATTTGCCTTGTGGTGTTGGATCAGGTACTGTGTCTGCTCATAAGTACTTGTGTCATCCAGAATGTTTTGTTTTTTAAGAAAATTGAATTTACTTGTTTCCTTAAATATTCTGAGGTTGATATGTTAGTTTTCATAGAACATTGAGAGGCCCCTGCCACTTTCAATAAAGACCTGACTTGGAGACATACAGGTGTGTGGGGGGGCGGGCCCGGACCATGCAGGGCTGCAGCATCCCTGGTCCTGAGTCCTCATCACAGCACGCAGAGACTGCAGCCCAGCCCCCCTTCAAAACTTCCCTGTGACTGATTCCTGGGCTCTGCTTGGCCCACTGGAAGGCGAACAGAGCAGGCAGAAGAGTATGCAGGTGGGGAGATGCTGTTTATTTTTAATCAAATGTGTGTGAACAAAGCAGTCACTTGTCTACTTCCCGTTGGAAGGAATGCTGGGCACTAATAAATTAGAGGACCCCACCCTCCCAGGGCACAGGGGGACTTTGGTTTCTGCTTCTCCAGAGGTACACGGGGAACAAGCATGGCTTCTGCTAGACTTGCTGAGCTGTGACCTGCAGGGCGGGCCCCTGGGGCTGCCACTTGGTTCACCAGATGGAAGGTCAGCATGGCTGTGCCACACTTGTCTGAGAGGGTCCTGGCAGTGGGTATGCAGGGTGTATGGCAGGGCCTCTTTTCCAGTGCTTGCTCTAGGCCAGTCCTCAGCAGGCACCCTGCTCTGGGGAGAGAGGCAGGGTGTGCCCAGGCTTTGGTCCGATGCCCAGAGCACTGCTCAAGCCCTGTCTGTGTCTATGAGCCAGGGGCCTGGGGGCCAAGGCGTGAGCAGCTCCGCACTCGAGACCCGCACATTTTTCTCAGGGCCCCAGATAGCGGGCGGCATGCACTGGGCCTTGGGTGGGGGGGATGAAGCCCCTCCCAGATGTTACATGAGGCCCACCCACACTGTTGGTGCCAGTGGGGATCCGCTGAGACTACAGCCACTTCCCATCTGTTGAGAAGCCTCAGGACAGAGGCCACCTCTGTCCTGCTGTTATTTGTAGTTGTGTCCAGACCTGGGCAGGTTGAGCGTCATTCCTCCTTTCCCCTGACCATCCCCTCCAGCCCTGAGGAGGGTTGGGGACCATCCTGCACGATGCTCGGGGCCCTCCCAGCCGAGCTGCTGGCTCCCTGGATCACCTCCATCCACCTGGAGGAGAGGGCGGCTGTCAGACCAGTAAGCCAGCTTGTGCTCAGACACCGTCCCAAGAACAACCCAGGTTACGGGACAAGCAGGACAAAAGAAGGGTTAAAAACCTGGGGGCGGGTGCAGTGGCTCACACATGTAATCCCAGCACTTTGGGAGGCAGATGGATCACTTGAGGTCAGGAGTTCGAGACCAGCCTGGCCAACATGGTGAAACCCTGTCTCTACTAAAAATACAAAAATTAGCCAGGCGGCATGGCACATGCCTATAATCTCAGTTACTCAGGAGGCTGAGGCAGAAGAATCGCTTGACCCTGGAGGTGCAGGTTATAGTGAGCCAAGATTGTACCACGGCACTCCAGCCTGAGTGACAGAGGGAGACTCCATCTCAAAAAAAAAAAAAAGCATTGCTGTTTGTTTGGAAATGCTGGAAGCATTGCTCAGCCCTTCCTTTCCAGGGCCCAGAAAACTTGCCTCCAACACCATGAGTAGAAATGGGAGCTGAGGAGATACCAATGTTCCTTGGGGTCCCACTCAGACCTGGGCAGCTGACCAAGGCTGCCTCCTACAAAATTACCTTTCAAATGTGTACTTGCTCTCAGCCCGGAAGAAGTAGACATGGGATTTGAACTGGAGCTTGAAAACGTAGTCTTTGTGTATGCCATCGGCCTCCTGGGGGATGCTCACGCCGTAGCCCAGCAGCGGGAGGCTGGCCAGTGGGTAGTCATCCTGGAAGACAGCACAGGGACACGGGTTCCAGGGGCTGGGTTGCAGCAGGGAGCGCCCATTCCTCTGCTACCTGCACGACGGTGGCACATACAAATGCTCACGGGCCAAGGGAGCACAGGGTGTGTGGGCAAAGCATGGGAGGGCAGAACCAAAATACAAAAGGGACACAGGTGGGGAGGGTGAGTGTCTGCCAGCATCACTTGCATCGGGCTCCAGTGAAACCCCAGTACCTGATGAGTTTTGTAGAAGAACAAACAGAAATTGGTAAAGACGACCCAGAGCTTCTGCCAGCCATGACTGTTTTTGAACTTTCTTAGCAGATATCCTGAAAGCTGGTTCTGTCAATAAAGGAAAAGTGCAGGTGCATTAACCAGCACCCAGAACCCCCAGCTCCATCTCCCTGGGGCCTTGTGGGAGTGGGTTTACTTCTCAAGACTAACTACCTGCATGCTTTCTCCGGCCGAGGCCTTGATTTTACCTCTGGACTGCTATGGACAGCAGCTTTATCAGTACTTAAATCCAACAGAAGCATGTTAAAAACCTAGAGTGACATTCCAGGCACCAAGTAAAATGAGTTCCTTTTCCCTGTGCATAATAAAGTTAGCATTCAGTAAACAACCACCCACAAACCCATCCAACAGCAAGAAGAGAGAAGACACTTTAAGAGATAGTACATTGAGCCAAGTCTGGAAGGTTCTTTAAAATGATGGGTGGGGCAGAGGCAAGTAAAGGCACACACAAGATGCCCCACTGCAGCCCCATCCCTAAGCGTGTGGCATCTGTTCTGCCAGGATTAGGCATGGCTTTGGCGCTGGAGTGGCTCGGCTAACGGGGCTCACGTGAGCCTCCCGCCTTCAGGGCGGTGCTCAGGGGTTGCACTCTGTCCAAGATGGCGGGGGCAGGCCTGGCTAGGACCCTGCTCAGATCTCAGGTGTCCTGGGCCGGCCACAAGCTGGCGGGCTCATGTCAGGGACCTGCTGCACCCTGACCTATCCAGGGTCATCAGGGGAGAGGCTTGGGCTGGGGTAGCTCCTGAGCCCCTGCCCAGCAGATTGTGGCTGGGGGGGATTTCTGGGGAAACAGCAAGAAGGACAAGAGCTCTGGGTGGAGTAAGAGAGCAGACTTAGGGAAGGGTGTGGGGGCACCAGGCTGAGGAACCTGGCGACCCACAGTGGCAGACGGGGCCCATGCAGTGAGATAGGGCGGACCACCCTCTATGGCAGGGTGCCTGGGCAGAGCCTCAAGCTCCAAGCCCAAGGTGAAGGGTTTCGGAGGCGCTGGGAGTGGGGGCTGCGGGAGGATATGTCTAAGAGGGCTTTTCTCAGCTCCACTACACACCAGCTCCAGGCCCTGAGGACATGCCCTGCCTGCTGGACTTCATCAGAGACACCAGACCTGAAAACACCCTTTTCAAAGAGGGTTTGACTGGATGAGGGGGACTTCCCATACCACCTTCTACCACGGGGAGAGTAAGAGGCAGCTCTCTGGGGCCAAGCCTGCCTGCTGGTACCCTCCTGAGGTCCCCTCCTCAGCAACCAAGTGCAGAGAGGGCTGGGAAGCTTCCAGATGCACTGAGGTGATGCTCACATGGTCGTACCTCGACAGCTGCACTGTGGTCTGCCCTGGACACGCTGGTGTTCCGGTACCAGCACACGTGCATTGTGGTGTTGGCCCGATGCTGGCCATGCCCCTCTAGGGAGCTGCGGGCACCCTTAGCATCATCTTCTGACTCCTGTTCCAGAGATACCTCGTTGGGGGATCCTGGGGAGAAGTCAGTGTCTCAGGGGGGACCCCCTGTGGCCTCTGCTTGCCAGATACTTCCACCCCTTGGGTTCCTCTCTGGTGGCCCTGGGGAAATGGAGAGCCCTTGGTGCTAGGCCAGCTGCTGGCTGAGAGCAAAACCACAGGTGCTTCTGCCAGAGCAGCCCGATTGACCCCTCTTCCCACCCAGGCATGAGGCGTAGCCTGGAACATTCCTTGTGGAAGGGGCTTGTGTGGGAGCTTAGCGGACCAATGGGGACCAAGGAAAACAACTTCCAGAAAAAGCCTCCTTAGGTGTAGTGGAGGTCTCCTGGGGGGTCGTGGCCAGTACTCACTGCGGGGATGAGTGCACACAGTGCTGCCTGGCAGTGCAGGGGCCGTGTCACCGCCACTCTTGGCTGCTTGGATCGCGTTGTTCAGGTCGAGCATCCATTTCTCTTTCTCCAGCCGAGTGCTGTGGGGAGGAGGGGAGGGCGAGGCTCAGTGGCTCTGCTCTCCTTTGTGTAGGGCCCCAGCCCTCAGGGGAGGGCGAGCCTTCACCGCACCTGTTCTCCCACATTCTGCTTTGTCCTGCCTGATGGGTGGAGAGGACTGGGAAACGTGTCCCCTCCAGCGAGAACAGCAGGGAGGAGAGCTGGGAGGGCCCGGCATCAGCCTGACCCCCAGGGTGCTGTGACAGGGTTGGGGGAGCCAAGGCAGGGCCCCGGTCCTAGAATGGAGGTCTGCAGGGGTGTTTGTTCCTGAAACAGTGTTCTCTATATCTCTGATACTGAAATGCAAGATTGGCCCTGGTTCATGATTAAGTGAACATTTCCTGGTAGGAACTGAGTGCCCTGTGCTCGCTGATGCTGGCCAGGGCGCTGTAGAGTCGGAGCTGAGACTCCTCACAGAGCACAGTGTGGTGCTGGTGACCGTGCAGGGGTCCCTGCATCCCGGCCACCAAATGAGCTCAGTGTCATCCTTCTGTTGATCTTATCTGGGGAGGAGGGAGCTGTTTCCACTTGTTTCTGTGCCATAGCCTGGTCTGTCTCACACGAGTCTATACCACACTGGGACTGGGAGGCAGTGTTTGGCTGGGCTGGGTGTAAGCTGCCCTGCTGGGGCTTTGATCACTAGCTGCTGGCACTTCTTGACGTGAGGGTTGGGGAAGCACCTGTGCCCTGGGAGACCACAGGAGCCTGCCCACTCACCCACCCCGTCTTTGGAGGCACTATGAACCAGAGGGCAGAGGGAGCAGCTCCACAGCACTGGAGTCTGCCACTTGTGGGATGTTGTCAGGGTCAGCAAGCAGCCCTGCCCCTGACAAGGGCAAGGCTGCTCCTTTGGTTGCATAACTTGGAAGCAGAGCTCAGAGTCAAAGGGGGCACAACCCCATGAGGCTCCATGGCCCCTCACAGCTCAGAGGACTCAGAGGCTCATGGCAAGGAAGTCCCCACCCCTCCATCCAGGGCTGCTCAGGATGGAGATATGGAAGACCCTTACCTGGCTGCCACCACGACTGTTTTCTGAGCTGCGTAGATGGTGAAACAGTGTGGAACAGACCACTCATTCTCACTTTCTTCTACCTGTAGGTGGGAGAAAAGGTCCAAATCTTGTGGCCAAGAAGGAACTGACAGCCTAAGCCTGAGCAGGACACAAGGTGACTGCTGGCAATGCTAGGTGGGGCTTGGAAGCCCAGTGCTGTCCAAGTGCACACAGACTACAAGAGGCCAAGGAGGACACTGGCATCCTTGCGCCATGGCAGCTGCACCCCAGGGGGTGAGCCATGGGCCAGAGGGCACCCAAATACTCACCGGGGGGTCCAGCACTATTAGCTGAAAATCAAGCAAAGGAAAAAACATTGAGCATTTTCATTATCCAAAAGGGAGTTGGACAATTCATTTATGAACCAAAGACCAAAACCTAATAGAGCTAGATTCAAAGAAAACCCACTGGGGATTAATTTTAATTATAAGTGGTTAGATGAAATAATTCCAAAATAAAATATTACCAAATCTAATCTAAAAGCACACACAAGGAACTGTCCCATGATCAAGTAAGGTTGTTTTGGGAATGCAAGGATGGTTCGGCATCAGAAAGCTGATTGATAACACTCATCCCATCAGAAGTCAGAGAGAAAAAGGGAGATCAATTCTCTACATGCTGAAAATGCCTTTGCCAAAATCCAAGGTGTTATTTCTGATAATACCTCTTAGAAACAGAAGGAAACTGTGTTAACATGATAAAGATGATCTTTTCAAGCCAAGAGCCATCATCCTCCCCTTAACAGTCAGGAACAAGGGCCAGTTCTCTGTCCCCAGGACCAGCCAGTTACCAACAACTCCACAGAATGGACAGCTTCCCTATGCAGAGCCTGATACACCAACCAAGCCTCTCACTGGACATAAAAAATCTGAATCAGCATAAGCAAGGGCAGGCAAAACATTGTCCAGATGTCAGTCTTCCCCTAAGTTAACACAAAAATTTATTGCAATTTCAACTGAAATCTCCACGGTGTTTTTGGAAGGAATTTGTCCAATGGCTTAAAAGATTACTTGGAAGAATTAAATGCTTGAGAATAGCAAAGAACATTTTTTTAAAAGGAGGCAGAATAAGGGATGGAATGTGTTCACCCAAACAGTGACTATCTCATGTGACACCACTAACTAGAGAGAGTGGACTGATGCTGGGCAGACAGGAATGGAGCAGAACGCCCAGAAAGAACGAGTGCAAAGACAAAGGCTTCCATTTGATAAAGAGTCTTTGACATCACTGAGAAAATGAAGGATTCAACAAATAGTGGGGAGAAATGTTACATCCCAATCTAATATCTATCAAAACAAATTCTAGGCTGGGCGTGGTGGCTCACAACTGTAATCCCAGCACTTTGGGAGGCTGAGGCGGGCAGATCACAAGGTCAGGAGATCAAGACCATCCTGGCTACTATGGTGAAACCCCATCTCTACTAAAAATACAAAAAATTTGCCACCTGTAGTCCCAGCTACTCGGGAGGGTGAGGCAGGAGAATGGCGTGAACCCGGGAGGCGGAGCTTGCAGTGAGCCGAGATCACACCACTGCACTCCAGCCTGGGCTACAGAGCGAGACTCCGTCTCAAAAACAAAAACAAAACAAAACAAAAACCCCTCTTTCCCTGCCGCCGCGGAGTCGCACGGAGGCGGAGGCTTGGGTGGTTCAAGATTCCGCTTCACCCGTAACCCACCACCATGGCCGAGGAAGGCATTGCTGCTGGAGGCGTAATGGACGTTAATACTGCTTTACAAGAGGTGCTGAAGACCGCCCTCATCCACGATGGCCTAGCACGTGGAATTCGCGAAGCTGCCAAAGCCTTAGACAAGCGCCAAGCCCATCTTTGTGTGCTTGCATCTAACTGTGATGAGCCTATGTATGCCAAGTTGGTGGAGGCCCTTTGTGCTGAACACCAGATCAACCTAATTAAGGTTGATGACAACAAGAAACTAGGAGAACGAGTAGGCCTCTGTAAAATTGACAGAGAGGGGAAACCCCGTAAAATGGTTGGTTGCAGTTGTGTAGTAGTTAAGGACTATGGAAAGGAGTCTCAGGCCAAGGATGTTATCGAAGAGTACTTCAAATGCAAGAAATGAATAAATCAATCTTTGGCTCACAAAAAAAAAAAAAAAAAAAAACCCAAAAAACAAAAAACAAATTCTAGGGAGATTAATTAAATGAGAAAAATGAAACCATAAAAAGGTGCTAATATAATACTGGCATGGGGAAGAACTTCCTGAGCCCATACAAAGGATAGAAACCCTCAAGGAAAAGACAGCCAGAGCTGACCCTGATAGGCCCTGATTTTTCAACTTTATGGTGGTGTGAAAGTGATAAGCATTCAGTAGAAACTGAACTTCAAGTGCCCATACAACCATTCTGTTTTTCACTTCCAGTATGGTATTCAATAAATTATGTGAAATATTCAACACTTTGTTATAAAACAAGCTTCATGTTAGATGATTTTACCCAACTGTAAGCTAATGTATGTTCTGAGCACATTTAAAGTAGGCTAGGCTGGCCAGGCGTGGTGGCTCACGCCTGTAATCCCAGCACTTTGGGAGGCAGAGGTGGGTGGATCACAAGGTCAGGAGATCGAGACCATCCTGGCTAACACAGTGAAACCCCGTCTCTACTAAAAAATACAAAAAATTAGCCAGGAGTGGTGGTGGGTGCCTGTAGTCCCAGTTACTCGGGAGGCTGAGGCAGGAGAATGACGTAAACCTGGGAGGCGGAGCTTGCAGTGAGCCAAGATGGCACCACTGCACTCCAGCCTGGGCAATTCTATCTCAAAAAAAAAAAAAAAAAGGGTAGGCTAGACTAAGCTATGATATCAGATAGGTTAAGTGTATTAAATGCATTTTCATTTCTTTTCTTTTCTTTTCTTTTCTTTTTGAGGCAGAGTCTTGCTTTGTCACCCAGGCTGGAGTGCAGTGGTGCGATCTTGGCTCACTACAACCTCCGCCTCCCGGGTTCAAGTGATTCTTGTGCTCAGCCTCCCGAGTAGCTGGGACTACAGGTGCCCACCACCACACCTGACTAATTTTTGTATTTTTAGTAGAGACAGGGTTTCGCCATGTTGGCCAGGCTGGTCTCAAACTCCTGACCTCGGGTGATTCGCCCACCTCAGCCTCCCAAAGTGCTGGGATTACAGGCGTGAGCAACTGTGCCCTGTTAAATGCATTTTTGACTATGATATCTTCCTCTTATAATGGGTTTATCAGGACATAGCCCTATCGTAAGTTGAGGAACGTCTGTTTCAATTCACACCTTCAACAAGCATTTGCTGGGTTCCTTATATGTGCCAGATGCCATTCTAGAGTAAGAGAAACACAACCCATCAAGATGGAGTTTAAATTCTACAAGGTAAAACCAAATTGCAAGCAAAGTAAAAAGGCAGTTACTAACTGAGAAAATAATTTCTGACTTAATAGGGTTGGTGAGCATTTTTACCATGTAAATATTTCACTAATGTGCACAAAAACTCACAGACCAATGGAGACCAGAGTGACCAGCAAGTTGAGTGATTCCCAAGAGGAAAAGCACGGAATGCCAGGACACAGGGACCAGGCTGGCCTCCCCGACAGTCCACAGGGACGAAAAGTGAGACAACGGGGCTGCTTGATGGGGCTGCTCGCCTTACCCACTTGGGAAGAGTAAGAGAGATGGGTGCCTAGCACTTTCCATGGTGGAGGGAAAGATGCATGTTTAGACCTAGCTCCTGCCGGTGGGCAGGTCAGTTGGCACAGGTGCTCCAAAAGCAATTTAGCAGGAGTGCCCAAGGCCGTAAACACCTTTGCTCAGACAGATCTACATTTTGGAATTGATCTGAAGGACATAATTAAGGATGTGCAGAAAGACAGAGACCCAACAATGTTACAGTCCTCAACAACCAGCCACAGCCAAGCATCCAATGACAGGTGACTAGTTAAATGAACTGGGGCTGCCATGAAAGGAAAGGAAAACCAGTGCCCTGACAAAACAGCCCGTGGATGATGGCAACTGTGCAGCAGATGCCTATAGCCATCACTGCTGAGTGGTACAATAATGAGGGAGTTCTTTTTTTTTTTTCCTGTGGGTTTTTTTTTTTTAATTTGAGACAAGGTCTCACTCTGTCACTGGGACTGGAGTGCAGTGGTGCAGTCACAGCTCACTACAGCCTTGACCTCCTGGGCTTAAGTGATTCTCCCACCTCAGCCTCCCAAGTAGCTGGGACTATAGGCACACACCACTATGCCCGGCTAATTTAAAAAAAAAAATTTTTTTTTAAAGATTTGACTTCGCCATGTTTCCCAGGCAGGTCTCAAACTCTCAGCTTCAAGCGATCCTACCATCTTGACCTCCTAAAGTGCTGGCATTACAGATGTGAGCCATCGCACCTGGTCAGTGATGAGTGATTTCTATCTTATATTTTCAATTATTTTTTCTATAATAAAGGTGTAATTTTTAAAAGTATACTTTAAAACAAATGGGGTCTGCTTCCAGTGGTGGCAGATGAGCTAATTCAATCTGACCTCCTCTTGCCTGAAAAGTGGAATTACATTTTACAAACACTTGGCCGGGCGGGGTGGCTCACGCCTGTAATCCCAGCACTTTGGGAGGCCGAGGCAGGTGGATCACGAGGTCAGGAGATCAAGACCACCATGGCTAACACAGTGAAACCCCGTCTCTACTAAAAATACAAAAAAATTAGCTAGGCGTGGTGGCAGGCACCTGTAGTCCCAGCTACTCAGGAGGCTGAGTCAGGAGAATGGTGTGAACCCAGGAGGCAGAGCTTGCATTGAGCCGAGATTGCACCACTGCACTCCAGCATGGGCGACAGAGCGAGACTCCTCTCAAAAAAAAAAAAGAAAAAAAAAAGAAAAAAAAATTTACAAACACCTGCCTGAGGGTTTTGGTGCTCATTGTCAGGAGGCGGCAGTGCAGAGGGATGAGAGTGGACAAAACCCTTGAAGAAAGAACAGGAAAAGAGGACCCCAGGGAGGGAGGACCCCACTGGTAGAGGAAGGACTCTAGGGAGGAAGGATCCCAGGGAGGGAGGACCCCAGGGAGAGAGGACCTCAGGGAAGGAGGACTCTACTGGGGGAGGGCCCTGGGGGAGGAAGACCACAGGGAGGGAAAATCCCAGGAAGGGAGGACCACAGGGAGCAAGGTAGGACCCCAGGAAGGGAAGATCCTAGGGAAGGAGGACTCCAAGGAGGGAATATCCCAGGGAGGGAGGACTACAGGGAGCAAGGGAGGACCCCCGGGGAAGGAAGATCCCAGAGAGGGAGGGAAGATCCCAGGAAGGGAAGATCACAGGGAGTGAGGGAGGACCTCAGGGAGGGAGGAAGGAGCCGAGGGAGGGAAGATCCCAGAGAGGGAGGGAGGACTCTAGGGAGGGAAGATCCTAGGAAAGGAGGACCCCAGGGAGAGAGGACCACAGGGAGGGAAGATACCAGAGAGGGAAGACCACAGGGAGTGAGGAAGGACCTCAGGGAGGGAGGGAGGACCCCAGGGAGGGAAGATTACAAGGGAGGATCTCAGGGAGGGAACATCACTGAGAGGGAGGACCACAAGGAGGGAGGGAGGACTACTTTAGCATTGTAGTCAAGGCAAATAAGCCAAAAGGGATAGGGCAGAGTTGGGGATTAGAGCCCCTAGGTCCATGGCACCCTAGGCAGGAGGCCTGGCAGGGCCATGGGGAGAGACAGTCACTGTGATGAGGTGTCCTGGACCGATGGCACATCCTTATGGCAAGTCCTGGACTTGGCTACCTGTCTGTACCGTTCCAGGCCTAGTGCAGGGACACACTCAGGGCAAGTGGACAGAGCCTCTAGAGCTGCATGAAAGTCTCCCCATGACCTGAGAACAGTATTTCCATCGAACACAAGCAGCAAACCACGAAGGACAAAGTTGATGAACTGGATCACGCTAAAATGAGGAATCTTTGCTCCCATCCCAGGCATGTGCCTACGTGGGACAGAGGGCTGGTGTGGATGTCACACAGCCTGAGGAAGATGCTGCTGCAGAGGCTGACTCTAAGCTTGCAGGGAGCAGGCCTTGTCCTGCCAGGTGCTGACAGGGACCACAGGCTGAGTCCAGGTTTCCCTAGAAGGGAATGATGGACTAGAGACAGGGCAGTTTGAGCATCAATAAGAACAATGACCATGGGGGTCAGAGACAACCAACAAGGAATGCCCACCAGGTGCTGCTCCCAGTGTGGCCAAATACTCAGCAGGTACTGCTCTCAGTGTTGCTGGGTTAGGATTCACCTCTGCAGGAGACAGGTGGGTGGGGCCCAGCCCAGCACCACATGGAAACCCCAGGCAGGGTGCAAGACCACTCACCAGCATGCCTCGGAGGGGAAGGAGGCCCCGGATCCGGAAGTGGCTGGTCCCTGCGACTCCTTTGCTTGTGTACAGCAACATGTCTGAGAACTGAGAAGCAGGAAGCTTTACATTCATGAACTTCACAAACAAGTGTCTTAATGGTCAGACCAACTTAGACTCTGGCTGCTCATCATGTGGACATCAGATCTATTCAGCTTGCTGGAGATTTCTGGCAAAAAGGGGACTTTTATTCATTCATTTGGTCATTTTTGACCAGAGGCAGGAAGTGGCCACAGGAACCAGTACATCTGCTGGGTTGGCTCCCAGCTAGCTTGGCTGAGAAGCTGGAGGCAGTAAGGAATTCTGGCGGGTGCTGACTCAGTTACCTCCTCATCCACATGGTTCATGCTGGAACCCACTAACTGGTAGGAACAAGGACATGCTGGGAGGGGCTTCTGGGCCAACAGTGAGCCTGTCCCGACTGGCCATTGGGCAGTCAGTAGCACCTTCTTGCAGCCACATGTATATGGACTTTACAACCTTTTGGCTTCTGTTTGTCCCATAGTCAGGTGCTCAGAACCTGGAATGAGGAGGGAGGCTGGCCCCGGGGTGGGCGGAGAAGCTGTTTTCTGCTTCTTCCCACTCTATGACCCTCCCCTGGCCTCGTCTGACTCCAACGCTACCCACCTGCACCAAAGCCTCCAAGTGCTAAACTACACAGAGGCCAAGGGACTGCCGCTGCACGTGGTATCCCTAACAGAACTGCTGCCCATCCCCCTTGGGGGGGAAGCACAGCTTGAGTGGGGAGAAAACCTACCAGAAAGAACATCCTCTGCTGCAGGCCCTTCTTGGTGAGCTTGTGAAGGCAGCCCTCACGGATGAACTCCTGAAAGACAGAGACAGAGTCCCCTTTGAGCTGGCTGAGGGCAGCTGGCGGATGCGCACTAGCCGGGCCGAGGGTCAGTAATAGCCTTGTGGCCGCTTGTGCTCCTCTGGCTGCTCCTCCCAGTGAGGGTCCTCTAGTGGGGCCTCCCAATGGGGCTCCTCTACCCTCAGCAGTGCCTATGATCACCAGGTCCTGTCTTGGTGCCAACAAATTCAGTCTTCAAATCATCTACTGAGCACCTGCCCTGGACTAGGAGCCCTGGAGCCCTGACACAACCAAGAGGTAGAGCCCGGGGTATTGTTCTTGCTGAGAAGAAGCTGCTGGAGGGTTCAGCCACAAAGATGTCATCTGAGATCCGCTTTGAAAAAACTGGACAGGAGCAGGTTTGAGAATGGGAGGAGGAAAGGAGGGTTCTCCTAGGTATTCAAATTAGCCCCTCCCCACAGGGCATTAGATAAGAAAACAGAATCCTGCCAGCGTCAGACACCTGCGCAGATAGGGTAAGCGAGAGTCCTGGGAGCCCCTTGAATTCCTAACCTGGACTGCTCTGGAGCCCTTCCACCGTTTGTTCCTTTCAGACAGACAGGAGGAGCAGCAGGTGTCCAGAGAATGTGTCAGGGGCCCACTAGTATGAGCAGCCCCAACATACTGCGTGAAGGCGCAAGGAGGAACACACTACACAGATAATCCTCACAGACATGTAGGATGAAAAACCAGCCCAAACAGAAACGTCCACCCCACACAATGAGGAAGTTGGTCATATGGATGCATTTGTGTAACTGGATGAGGCTGGTAACTAAGCTTGGGGCTCTCACTCCAAACCTGCCTCCCAGCCCTACTCTGAGAGGCCACAGGGGCATGACAGGGAGCCCTGGAGACCACACGCTGAGGTCCCTGTGAGCTGCTGGCAATTGCTTGGCCCTGGGAGTGGCAGTTCCTTCCAGCCACAGGCAGCAGCATCACACTCAGAGACCCCAGCACTGGCTGAGCAGCAGCCCCCTCTCCAGAGCCCCCACACAGGATGTACGTCCCAGACCCAAGGGATGCCTTCTCCACCATGCACTGGCCCTGCTGCCAGCTGTGAGGCTCAGCGCTATGGGCCTTTGACCAAGCTGTCAAATTTGTTCCCCAGCCCTAGGGTAGTACCTGTGGCTCACAGTTCTGCCACCTCCCTGACACTTCACAGTTCTTTTTACCCTTTGGCACCTCATCAACTTTATACCTGGTTAACAATCCTTGCTATTACATCCTCTGCTCAAATAACTGGCATGGTTTCTGTCTCCTGACTGACACACATATTTAACTCAGGAAGACATGAAACTCTGGGCTATACAGACATGACTTTAGAGATTTTGACTAATAATAACAAATTATTATTTGAATTTGCACAGCATCTACTTCATGCAAGGCCCAGGGCTGAGCAGCTGACATAGATTCCTTGTTCATTCTCAAGACCTCCTGCCTCAGAGAGGTGGTGCAGCCTGCCCAGGACACACAGGAAGTGTGGTGAGACTGAGTTTGATGCATGGCTCAAGAGCCTACACCTTTGCCACTGTCCTATGTAGCTACTCTCAATTGTCTTTTCAGTGACAGTTCCCTGGGCCACCATCTATAAGACCCAGTGACAGTTCCCTGGGCCACCATCTATAAGACCCTGCACAGAGATTACTAGGAGAAATAATGGTATGTAACATGAGCCCTACTTCCAGGAGTTCCCAGCCAGCAGCAACAGCTCAACGCTATGCAGCCAAGGAGAGAAACAAAAGAGTGGTGGTCCTAGCACCCGATCAAAGCCCAGACTCCTGAAGTGGGGAAGGTTTCCTGTGTATTCCAGGCTAATTCATTTCTCCAAGCTTGCAGTTCCACATTTTCAATACCTTCTTCTAACAAAGCTAACACAGAACATGATTCATACACATGCTTCAATGCACATGTGTGTGCTGAGACAGGAAACATCTCCATGTAATTTTTAAAACAATTTTTTATGTTGAGAGTATTGAGTTCAAAGCAAAAAGCACTAGTGACAGAAAGTAACTGTCCCAATAGACATATAGACCATGGGATAGAATCAAGAGTCCAGAAATAAATCCATATGTTTACAGTTCATTGATTTGTTTTTGTTTCTGAGACAGGGTCTCACTCTGTTGCCCAGGCTGGAGTGCAGTGGTGTGATCACAGCTCACCGTAGCCTTGACCTTCTAGGCTCAAGCGATCCACTTGCCTCAGCCTCGGGGGAAGCTGGGACCATAGGTGTGTGCCACCATGCCAGGCAAATTTTTTTTCTTTTTTTTTGGAAGATACAGGGTATCAGTATGTTGCGCAGGCTAGTCTCAATCTCCTGGCTTCAAGTGATCCTTCTGCCATGGCCTCCCAAAGTGCTAGGAATACAGGCTTAAGCCACTATGCCTAGCCCCCACTGATCTTCTACAAGGGTTAAAAGACAGACAATTCAATAAATGGTGCCGGGAAAACTGGACATCCACATGCAAAATAATAAAGTTGGACTCCTACGTTCCAGTATACACAAAAACTAACCCAAAATGGATCAAAGATCTAAATGGAAGAGGTAAAACATAAAACTATTAGAAGAAAAGAAACAGAAGGGTAAATCTTCATACCCTGGGTTAGGCTTTCTTTCTTTTTTCATTTCTTTTTTTCATAAATACACAATTTTGTTTGCTATTTTCAGGGGAAACTTAGGCATTAAACTGTAAGCTGATAAAATACTATACTCAAATTTTAGTGAATTAAATCTTAGTGATTTTAGTGAATTAAATCTTAGTATCTTTAAATTAAAAAAAAACACAAGCCTATCTATTATATCAAAGTCAAAAATCAAACAATGCTAAGGGGCCAGCAGCTCCCCAGAGAGTACACTCTGAGGGCCCACAGTGGTTGCCTTCCTCCTGAGCTCTGCTGGGGAGGACAGGGTCATCCCATGGCTAAGTCTGACCTCTAGAAAGGCTTTTATAAATTGTCTAAGCCAAACATTTAACAGCATACAAGAGACCTTACAAAAAGGAGGTGCTAAGTCCTAATGCTGGAGAACTTGGTTAATCAGGTTATTGGCAAAGAAGAAGATGAGGCCTAGGCAAGAAGTCTCCAGAAGCATTGGAAACCAGACAGTGTCAGAGCCTCTGAGCTGCACATGGGCAGCTGGCGGTCAGTCTGCACAGTGCTCCTTGGGAAGCTGGAGTTCCAGAAACAAAGAGCTTGGAGCCTGCCCTGCACACCAGGTCCCCAGACTCTGACAGGTCCCCACAACCAGCTGAGAAAGGTCTGTTTTCAAAGGATGTGGGCAGTGGTTTCTAAAAGAATCCCATCAGCTCCCATGTCATGTTGGGTGGAGCCCATGAAGGTCGACTGAAGTCCCAAACATCCCAGAAAGGCTGCACAGTTATACAAAGAAAATGACAGAGTAGTGAGAGAGAGGCATTTGTGATGCTCCATAAACATCCCAAATTTTCACTGTGACCCAGACCTTCAGCTCCAGAAGCCAGCAGACAGGCCTCCAGCCCAACCTCTATGCCAGGTGTGACATAGCACTGACAGGCACCAGCTCCCCCATGAGCCCGCAGAGTGGGGGACAAGGCAACACTGCTACCTCATGATAACGGGTTGAACAGATCACTCTCAACGCAGCAATCCTTGTGGGCATTTCCAGAGTATAAACCCTGGGGAGTCTATCCACACTGAAAAGGGGTATAAAGTTCTCTCGCCTGGAAAACACAAATTGAAAAGCCTTGACTGGCCGGGCGCAGTGGCTTAAGCCTGTAATCCCAGCACTTTGGGAGGCCGAGACGGGCGGATCATGAGGTCAGAAGATTGAGACCATCCTGGCTAACACAGTGAAACCCGTCTCTACTAAAAAATACAAAAAAAAAACTAGCCGGGCGAGGTGGCGGGCGCCTGTAGTCCCAGCTACTCGGGAGGCTGAGGCAGGAGAATGGCGTAAACCCAGGAGGCGGAGCTTGCAGTGAGCTGAGATCCGGCCATTGCACTCCAGCCTGGGCGACAGAGCGAGACTCCATCTCAAAAAAAAAAAAAAAAAAAAAAAAAAAAAGAAAAGCCTTGACTGTCCCGGACTGAGTCAGGCAGGATCATAGCCTGTGTCGGAAAGAGGCCTGTCCTTGAAACGGTGCCAGGAAGTAGTGATGATGCAGAAGCCGCCTTTGTCAGGAGCTCTGTGAGGTTGAGAGCAACCAGCGATCCCACCTGGGAGGCAGAGCTCCCGACTGAGTCTAGGGCCTGGCAGCCAGACCAGAGGCCACAACCTGCTGGACGCCGATGACGCTGTGGCCACTTCCTGCCAGTGAAGCCCAGGCTGCTTTTACAGACTATGTGTAGCACCAAGAACTCTGTCCTTTACATGATCTTCAGGGATTGAGTGGGCTGACTGGGAGCATCTGTCTCAGTCTCTAGCCCCTCTCAAGAGACAGCACCCACCTGGCTGCCATGCTCCTCCCCTTGGGGACACCTGGCCTTGGACAGCTGGACCTGTCTCTCACCACCCACCTCAGAGGCAAAAAAGGATTCACACACAGATCTCTAGAAAAATGATCAAAAGCAGGTTCCTTCTCGCAGCCAAGCTTCCTGGACATGGTAGTTCATTGCATCTTGGGAAAGAGTAAATCATTTTTTCATACTGTGTCCCTCACATCCTTGAACCTTGTTCTTGCAAAATCTTGGTCTTCTTGCTGGGTTCACTGGCCATACTGTATGGGGTATTGTGAAGTTCCTTGGACATCACATAGAGGAACTTGGCCTGATCTTCATTTCCATAGTTGTAAGAGGAGCCAATGCTAACCAGTTGTTCAAACTTCTGACTGTCGGACATGGTGGACACCATCTGTGTGAGTTCCTCCTCCTGGCACTGAAGTACATGGTACACATGCTTCATGGGCACCTGTGATGTTTTGTTCTCTTGTTCTCTAATTTTATCCTTTACAAGTTTTATTAATGAGGTGATATTGTAAAATTCTGCTTTCTCCAACACTCTTTCCTCCGCAAGATCTTTGTTAATCACCAGCTTGCCATGTCTCAGGTAGTTCAGCACAGGCCCGAAATAGGTGGGGTCTCTGACCATTAAATAGGCAACAGTTTCATCCTTGTCAGGGTTAGCCTAGTATAAGCAGTACAGGAAGTATTTCAGGTCCTGGCACAGCATCTGCTGGGTGGTGAGGAAGTAGGTGCAGCCAACGCTGAGCCAGACCCATTTGGACATGCTGCTGGGTGCTGGGCCAGGGTGCTCTGAGTCCTGCACTACAGCAGCACAGGTCGACCCTACCAGCCCTGCCCCAAGGTTGCACTGGGCAGGTGGCAGTGCTCGCAGTAATTCCTTTTTTTCTGAGACAGGGTCTTGCTCTGTTGTCCAGGCTAAAGTGCAGTGGCGGGATCATAGCTTACTGCAACCTTGAACTCTTGGGCTCAAGCAATGCTCCTACCTTAGCCTCCCGAGTAGCTAGGACTACAGGTGTGTACCACTACGCTTGGCTGACAATAGTTTCTTAGATATAACATCTAAGACACAAGCAACTAAAGAAAAAAATAGATAAATTAAAACTTTTCATGTTGTAAATGAAGGCCACCATCAAGAAAGTGAAAGGACAACCCACACAATGGGAGAAAATGTTTGCAAATCATAGTCTGATAAAGGTCTATAGCATTCAGAATATAAAGAACCCTTAAAACTCAACAGGTTGTCTTTTACTTTTGGGTTTTAAGAGTTCCTAGCAAATTCTGAATAAAATAAAAGGTAGGCAAAGGATCTGAACAGACATTTCTCCAAAAAAGGCCTACAAATGGCCAATAAGCACATGAAAAGATGCTCAATGTCATTAGCCATCAGGGAAATACAAATTGTAACCACACAAGACAGCATTACACACTCACTAAAATGGCTAGAACCAAAAAGTGACACACAATGTGGAGAAACTAGAAGTCTCATACAAGTTGGTGGGAATGAAAAATGGTTCAGTCACTTTGGAAAACAGTTTGGCAGCTCCTCAAAATGTTAAACATGGAATTACCATATGACCCTGCATATGGTATATACTCAAAACTGAAAACCTAAGTCCACACAAAACTTGTACATGAATGTTCCCAGCAGCACTATTCATAACAGCCAAGAAGTGGAAATAACCCAGTGTCCATCAGATGAGTGGAGAGACATGTGATACATGCATGATGGAATATGATTCAGCCACAAAAAGGAACATGAGGCCGGGCACGGTGGCTCATGCCTGTAATCCCAGCACTTTGGGAGGCCAAGGCAGGTGGATCACAAGGTCAAGAGCTTGAGACCATCCTGGCCAACATGGTGAAACCCTGTCTCTACTAAAAACACAAAAATTAGCTAGGGGTAGTGGTATGTGCCTGCAGTCCCAGCTACTTGGGAGGCTGAGGCAGGAGAATCACTTGAACCTGGGAGGTGGAGGTTGCAGTGAGCCAAGATCGCACCACTGCACCCCAGCCTGGTGACTGCACCTTTAATTTGAGAGACTGTCTCAAATTAAAAAAAAAAAAAAAAAAAAAGGGAACATGAATGAACCTTGAAAAGATTATTCTGAGTGAAAGAAGACAGTTAGAAGAGGCCACAGTAATGTATGATACCATTTCTATGAAAGGCCCAGACAGGTTAACTCCTTAGAGACAGAAAGTAGATCAGTGGTTGTCAGGGGTTAGGGAGCAGAACGAGGTCCCCACAGAACAGCATCCCCACCCAGACAGGATTACCTCAGAACAGAGTCCCCTGAGAACAGGGTCCCCTTCAAAATAGCGATGGGAAGTGACTGTTAATCGGTGTGGGGGTTTCATTTTGGGGTGATGAAAATGTTCTGAATTAGATACTGATGGCTGCATAACCTTGTGAAGATACTAAAACCCACTCAATTATACATTTTTTGTATGTATGTATGTGTGTATGTATGTATATATGTATGTATTTTATTTTATTTTGAGACAGAGTTTCGCTCTTGTTACCCAGGCTAGAGTGCAATGGTGTGATCTTGGCTCACTGCAACTTCCACCTCCTGGGTTCAAGCGATTCTCCTACTTCAGCCTCCTGAGTAGCTGGGATTACAGGCATGTGCCACCACGCCCTGCTAATGTTTTGTATTTTTCTTAGAGACAGGGTTTCTCCATGTTGGTCAGGCTGGTCTCAAACTCCCGACCTCAGGTGATCCGCCTGCCTTGGCCTCCCAAAGTGCTGGGATTATAGGCGTGAGCCACTGTGCCTGGCCGTATTTACCTATTTTTAATGGAGACAGGGTCTTGCTCTGTTGTCAGGCTGGAGTGCAGTGGTGTGATCAGGGCTTACTCCAGCCTCGACCTCCTTGGCTCAAGCAATCCTCCCATCTCAGTCTCCTGAGTAGCTGGGACCACAGGTGTGTGCCACCACACCCGACAATTCTTTTTTTTTTAATTCTCATAGAAACAGGGTTTCCCCGTGTTGCTCAGTCTGGTCTTGAACTCCTGGGCTCAAGCAATCCTCCCACCTCAGCCTCCCAGTGTTGGGATTACAGGTATGAGCCACTGTGCCTGGCCAAAATTATACATTTTAAAAGGGTGACTTTCGTGGTATGTAAATTATATCTCAATTAAAAAAACAAAGTAGCTCAAAAAACATTCCCAGAGTAAGGTCACTCACCCTGCCAGGAGCAATGAGGTTCTCTACGCCCACCAGGTCCCGCTGCAGCTCCGTCAGCTTCTGCAGGTTCTCCAGCCGGATGAGAATGTGCTGTAGTGTGGTAGTCACCTCTGTGATGGCCTTCAGGGCATCTGTGTAGAGAGACCCCTCAGTATAGGTGTACAGGCAGTGGTGTGCACAGCACCCTCCACCCACCACCTTGTGACAAAAACCAGCATTCTAAAAGGCAGTTTTAATTAGAAGTACATCCTACTTGACTTCTTATAGCAGCGGTCCCCAACCTTTTTGGTACCAGGGATAGGTTTCATGGAAGACTATTTTTCCACAGACCAGGGGTGGTGGGAATGGTTTGGGGATGAAACTGTTCCACCTCAGATCATCAGGCATTTGTTAGATTCTCATAAGGAGCACACAAACTAGATCCCCCAAACGCGCAGTTCACAATAGGGTTTGTGCTCCCCTGAGAATCTAATGTTGCTGACCTGACAGGAGGAGGAGCTCAGGTGGTAATACAAGCAATGGGGAGTGGCTGTAAATAAAGAGAAGCTTCACTTGCCGCTCACTCACTTCCTGGTGTGCGGCCTGGTTCCTAATAGGCTATGGACTGGACTGGTACTAGTCCATGGCCAGGGGTGCTGGGGATCCCTGCCTTATAGGACTTATAGGACTGCTGCCTACTATGTGCAGCCACCAGGTGCCTGCTCCTGCAGATATCCCTGAGGCCTTCAGGTTGTTCAACCCAAACTGTTGGCCAGCCCATATTCTGGTTTGGCAAAAAGAATAGGCTTTGTAAATAATGATTTAATGTTATGGGTAAGGCAGTATTTGCTCTTAAAGGAAAATGATTTATTGTACTTTAAAGGCTAAATGATTTGCACCTTCAAAGCAATTGTAATTTTCTCTTTTAACCAGGAACAGATGCCAATTTTATAGTTCAAGCAAAGGTAAAAGAAAGTTTATAATCTGGACAGGAAACTTAAAACACAAAGTTATACCAAGAGTAGTCTGCCCAGCTCTGAGGCCATGCTGAGAGTGGTGGTGTAGCGTAGCTGAGCCTGCTCCCACCTCTGATGATGCCTGGAGCACAGGGTCTGCATCCTCCTTGCTGGAATCACTCATGGGGACCACCTTCCCCCTTCTTTCTTTTAATTAATTAATTAATTAATTATTATTATTTTTTGAGACAGGGTCTGTCTCCCAGGCTGGAGTGCAGTGGCATGATCTTGGCTCACTGAAACCTCTGCCTCTCAAGTTCAAGCAATTCTTGTGCCTCAGCCTCCCAAGTAGCTGGGACTACAGATGCCCACCACAACACCTGGCTAATTTTTTGCATTTTTAGTAGAGACAGGGTTTCACCATGTTGGCCAGGCTGTTCTCCCGCTCCTGACATCAGATGATCTACTCGCCTTGGCCTCCCCAAATGCTGGGATTACAGGCGTGACCCACCATGCCCGGCCACCTTCTGCCTTGTTTCTATCATGACTCCCTCTTACTTCCGGGCCACAAAGCTTCTCCATGACAAGGTCCACACCCCTCACCCAGCACTGCCCAGTGCTCAGCTCTAGCCCTGGGAAGATTTGTTAGCATGAAGTCACCTGACTGTTCCAGCTCTATCCTTTCCAGTGGGGGTGACAACAGTACCTTACAGCTTTCAGAAGATAAAGTCAGAAAAGAATGAAGTACGTGAAGAGATCATCATTGACAAACAAAATTGACTGACAAAATTCACTTTCCGTCAAAGACACCTGCATGACACTGAAAACAAGGAAGAACTTCAGTGAATCCAGCATAGGTCTTGGCAGCTACCAACCCTACTGCTCTGTGCAGATTTCTAAGCTCCTGACCCCAACCCCTGGCTCTCCCAGGCTGGCCATCCCGCAAGCACTTGGGTCTGAGCCCCTCCTTCCAGACACCATGTCAGGCAGAGACTCATCATGACATGCCCATTCGCTGCATGGCTGCTTGAGTCCACTCAAACAAGCACCAGTGCCACCCTGCCCTCAAATACTGACTCCACAGAGTGCAGGGCTGGGAGCCTGACTGCCACATGGACGCTGTGCTGTACCTCGGTAGGGACTGGCGGCTGCTGGAAGCTCAGGACACATTTTGGACCTGATGGCATGATAATGATCCTATACATCACCTGATCTGCCTTGATATTCTCCACAGAACCCGCAGAACAGGGTCTCCACAGAGCAGTATCCCCTGCAGAACAGGGTCCCCTCAGAAAAGGGTCCCCCTCAGAACAGGGACCCCATAGAAGAGCATCCCCCACAGAACAGGGTCCCCTCAGAGCATGGTCCCCTCAGAAGAGGGTCCCTTCAGAACAGCATCTCACTCAGAAAAGGGTCCCCTCAGAACAGGGTCACTATAGAGCAGTGTCACCATCAGAAAAGGGTCCTCACAGAACAGAATCCACATAGCACAGGATGCCCACCAAACAGAATCCCCCGTAGAACAGGGTCCCCTCAGAAAAAGGGTCCTCACAGAACAGGATCCCCACAGAACAGCATCCACCTCAGAACAGGGTCCCCAGAGAATATAATGCCCTCAGAACAGGGTCCCCTCAGAACTGCATCACCCTCAGAACAGAGGCCACATAGAGCAAAATCCCCCTGAGAACAGGGTCCCCACAGAAAACGATCCCTTCAGAACAGGGTCCCCACAGAACAGGGACCTCTCAGAACAGCATCCCTCTCAGAATAGGGTCCCCTCACAACAGCATCCCCCTCAAAACAGGGTCTCCCTCAGAACAGAATCCCCACAGAACAGGATCCCCTCACAATGGCATCCCCCTCAGAATAGGATCCTCTCAGAACAGGGTCCCCTCAAAACAGCATCACCCTCAGAACAGGGTCCTCTCGGAACAGCATCCCCCTCAGAACAGGGTCCCCTCAGAACAGCATCCCCCTCAGAACAGGGTCTTCTTAGAACAGGGTACCCATAGAACAGGGTCCCTTGAGAATAGCATCCCCCACAGAACAGGGTGCCCTCAGAACAAGATCCCTTCAGAGCAGAATCCCCACAGAACTGGGTCCCCTGAGAACAGCTTCTCCCTCAGACCAGAGTCCCTTCAGAACAGGATCACCACAGAACAGCATTCCCCTCAGAAGTGTCCTCTCAGAACAGGATCCCGCTCAGAACAGGGTCCCCCTCAGAACACGGTCCCTACAGAACAGCACCCCCCTCAGAACAAGATCCCTCTGAAAACAGGGTCCCCTCAAAACATCACTCCTCTCAGAATAAGGTCTCCACAAAACAGAATCCCCATAGAACCGGGGCCCCTCAGAACAGGATCCCTTCAGAATAGGGTCCCCTTAGAACAGGATCCCCATCAAAACATGCTCACTACAAAACAGGTTCTCAACAGAATGGTCCTCACAGAACAGGATGCTGCACAGAACAGGGTCCCTTCAGAACAGCAATCCCCACAGAACAGGTTTCCCTCAGAACAGGATCCCTTTAGAACAGGGTCCTCTCAGAATAGGATCCCCACAGAACAGGGTCCCCTAAGAACAGCATCCCGCTCAGAACAGAGTCCCCTCAAAACAGGATCACCCTCAGATCAGGGTCTCCTCAGAACAGGGTCTACACAGAACAAAACCCCACAGAACAGTCTTTTCACAATAGCATTCCCTTCACAACAGGGTCCCCTCAGAACAGGGTCTACACAGAACAAAATCCCACAGAACAGTTTCTTCACAATAGCATTTCCTTCACAACAGGGTCCCCTCAGAACAGAATCCTCACAGAACAGGGTCCTCACAGAACAGGGTCCTCACAGAACGAGATGCCCCACAGAACAGGGTCCCTTCAGAACAGAATCCCCACAGAACAGGGTCCCCACAGAAGAGAATCTACCTCAGAACAGGGTCCTCAAAGAATTGGATCCCCCACAGAACAGGGTCCCCTCAGAATAGCATCTCCCTCAGAATAGTTTCCCCTCACAACAGGATTTCCCTCAGAACAGGGTCCCCACAGAAAAGGGTCCCCTCAGAACAGGATTCCCACAGAACAGAGTCCTCTCAGAACAGCATCCCCCTCAGAATAGGGTCCCCTCAGAACAGAGTCCCCTCAAAACAGCATCACTCTCAGAACAGCATCTACACAGAACAAAATCTCTACACAACATGGTCTCCTCAGAATAGCATTCCCTTCAGAACAGGGTCCTCCCAGAACAGGTTCCCCACAAAACAGGGTCCTCACAGAATGAGATGCCCCACAGAACAGGGTCCCTTCAGATCAGAATCTCCACAGAACACCATAGAACAGGGTCCCCTCAGAACAGGGTCCCCACAGAAAAGAATCTCTCTCAGAACAGAGTCCCCTCAAAACAGCACCCTCCTCAGAACAGGATCCCCCTCAGAACAGCATCCCCCACACAACAGAATCCCCACAGAACAGGTTCCCCTGAGAACAGTATCTCAAGGAATCCGAGCAGGATTCCTTCAGAACCGGATCACCACAGAACAGAATCCCCTCAGAACAGGGTCCCCCTCAGAACAGAGTCCCCACAGAAGAGGTTCCCCACAGAACATGGTCCCCTCAGAACAGAGTTCCCATGGAACAGCATCCCCCTCAGAACAGGATCCCCCTAAGAACAAGGTCCCCTCAGAAAACAGTCCCCTCAAAACAGCACTACCCTCAGAATAGGGCCTCCACAGAACAGAATCCCCACAGAACATGGTCCTCTCAGAACAGGATCCCGACAGAACGGGTTCCCTTCAGAACAGCATCCTCACAAAACAAGATGCCCCACAGAACAGGGTTACCTTAGAACAGCAACCCCGGCTGGGCGCGGTGGCTCACGCCTGTAATCCCAGCACTTTGGGAGGCTGAGGCGGGTGGATCACGAGGTCAGGAGATTGAGACCATCCTGGCTAACACGGTAAAACCCCGTCTCTATTAAAAATACAAAAAAACTAGCCGGGCGAGGTGGCGAGTGTCTGTAGTACCAGTTAGTCGGGAGGCTGAGGCAGGAGAATGGTGGGAACCCAGGAGGCAGAGCTTGCAGTGAGCCGAGATCGCACCACTGCACTCCAGCCTGGGCTACAGAGCGAGACTCCGTCTCAGAAAACAAAACAAAACAAAACAAAAAAACCAGCAACCCCCTCAGAACAGGGGAACAGGGTCCCCACAGAACAGGGTCCTCACAGAATCAAATCCTCCATAGAACAAGGTCCCATTAGAACAGCATCCCCCTCAGAACAGGGTTTCTACAGAACAGGATCCCCACAAAACAAGGTCCCCTCACAACATCATCCCCCTCAGAACAGTATCCCCCGCAGAACAGGTCCCCATAGAACAGGGTCCTCACAGAATAAAATCCCCCACAGAACAGGGTCCCCTCACAACAGCATCCCCCTCAGAACAGTATCCCCCGCAGAACAGGTCCCCGTAGAACAGGGTCCTCACAGAATAAAATCCCCCACAGAACAGGGTCCCCTCACAACAGCATCCCCCTCAGAACAGTATCCCCCGCAGAACAAGGTCCCCTCAGAATGGCATCCCGCTCGGAACAGGATCCCCTCAGAACAGTATCCCTTTATAACAGGGTTCCCTCAGAACAGCATCCCCCTCAGAACAGCATCCCCCTCAGAACAGCATCCCCCTCAGAACAGGACCCCCCCTCAGAACAGAGACCCCTCAGAATAGAATCCTCCTCAGAACAGGGTCTCTTCAGAACAGGGTCCTTGTCAGAGCAGAATCCCCCACAGAACAGGGTCCCCTTCAGAACAGCATCCTCCTCAGAACATGTGCCCCCATGACACTATTCCCCCCTTAGAACAAGATCCTCTCAGGGTAGTGTTCCCCTCAGAATAACATTCCCCTCATATAAGAGTCCGATCAGGGTAATGAGCACCCAGGACAGAGTTCCCCTCTGAATAGGGTCTCCTCAAAATAAGGTCCTCTCAGAGCATCCCCTGTGAACAGCGTCTCTTCAGAACAGGGTCCCCTGAGAGCAGCATCCACCTGAGAGCAGAGTCCCCACAGAGCAGTATCCTCCTAAGAACAGAGTCCCCACAGAATAGAGTCTCCTCAGAGTATGGACCCCTCAGAGCAGGGTCCCCCTCAGTCCAAGATCCCCTCAGAGCGCATCCCTATCAGAACAGGACCCCCAGAGAGCAGTGTCTCCCTCATAACTGAGTCCCCTCAGAAAAGGGTTCCCCTAAGAACAGTGTTCCCCTCAAAAAAGGGTCCCCCTCAGAAGAAGGTTCTCTTAGAGTAGTGTTTCCCTCAAAACAGAGTCCCCCCTCAGAACACTGTCCCCTTCAGAACAGAGTCCACCTCCAACCATGGTCCCCTTAGAATAGAATCTCCTCAGAGCAGTGTCCTCCTTAGAACTGGGTCCCCTCAGCACTGGGTTCCCCTCAGTCCAAGATCCCTTCAGAACACATCCCCATCAGAACAGAACCCCCTGAGAGCCACATCCCCTTGTAACTGAGTACCTCAGAAAAGGGTCCCCCTCAGAACAGGTTCCCCCACAGCAGCAGGCAGAGCAGGTGCGTGATAGAACAAATCAACAACATACACTTAACATCCAGCACCCTTGGAAACTCTCATCAAAATGAAGGATAAATAAAATTGCAAGGCTGGCTTCTGTCAGCCCCAACAAATGTACTCCCTTTTGTCCAAGAGAGTTCTATTCAAGTTTTCAGGAAGACCAAGAGGCTGGTAACATGTGCACACCAAAGGCCATTTTTGAAGAAGGCCCTTCTTGACAAGCATTCCTGTGTCCCACATTTGGGGAGTGGGGTCATGGAGGGAAAGGAGCCTGCCATAGTGTCAGCTGAGAATGTTTCATCAACTGGGCTCTCACTGCTCTCCAGAGATGGCTGAGGTCTGAAGCAAACCTAGGGAGGCTGATGGTTATCAATGTTCTGTTGAATTGACAACCTCAAAGCACTTTCACAAACACAGCTTCACAGAGGTTTTGCACCAGTCTATAAATTTTACTGATGAGAAACCTGTCATGTTGTGAGGTACAGGAATCCCTCCAAAATCCTATGTCCCTCAAGCACATGGTAGACGTGGCCAGAACCCGGGCCCCAGTCTTCTCCACGGCATGTCTTCCCTGGTCGCCCGGGGTCCAGGCCACCCTCTGCTCCAGCACTCTGCCTACCTAACTACTGTGGTATAATGACTGACAACAAGAAACATTTTAAACATGGTGTGGTTATTTCATGTTTTTCTTAAAATGTTTGAAAATGTTTTCTATAATTTTGTCCTCCTTCTTTTTAGCAAACATGAAACATTTTCTTCTAGAACGAAAAGAAAGAGAATCATCAACACTTTATGATCCATTCTATTTCTTGCTAATTAGAAAGCATCCTTATTTATATCCATTCATGGCTATGGGAAACCAGCTAGAGGAAATGCTAAGTAATTTTTCATCTATTTTTAATGACAATGATAAAATTTACTTGTAAAAACATCCTGATGTGGTGGCTCACACCTGTAATCCCAGCACTTTGGGAGGCTGAGGCAGGCGGATTACGAGGTCAGGAGTTCAAGACCAGCCTGGCCAACATGGTGAAACCCTGTTTCTACTAAAAATACAAAAATTAGCTGGGTGTGGTGGTGGACGCCTATAATCCTGGCTACTCGGGAGGCTGAGGCAGGAGAATCACTTGAACCCGGGAAGAGGAGATTGCAGTAAGCCAAGATTGTGCCACTGAACTCCAGCCGGGCGACAAGAGTGAAACTACATCTCAAAAAAAAAAAAAAGTCTGGGTGCGGTGGCTCACACCTGTAATCCCAGCACTTTGGGAGGCCGAGGAGGGCAGATCACGAGGTCAGGAGATCAAGACCATCCTGGCT